TGTCAGATATCATCTATACTTGTCCCATCTATGCCTCGTCCACACTGTGCCTCGACCCCACTGTGCTACCGTTTTTTTTTCCTTAAAACTGCCATAACTTTTTGGAAAATAAACAAATAAAAAAACATTTTTTTATATTAAAACCTTAGGTATTTCTATTCATTTGAAATATTTTTTTTGAAAATCTGACACTTACTTTTCACAAGAGGTGATTCAAAATAGCATCTTTTTTACAAAAGTCAACTTAACTTTTGAAAATATTCCGGAAATACTGCGTCCTTTAAACATATGTTAAATTAAAGCTTATGTTATGTACTATAAGTAAAAAGAAAAAATTTTGTCCTGGCGCCTTATCTTTTATGTGCAAATGTCTGCCGTAGTTAAAAAACATGATATTGTTTAAAAGTTTTTTTTATGCATTTTAAAATACCTTACAAAGGTTTGTCATAGTAATGATTCCACCAATTTTTATCAAAGTTACATGAATCTTACTTAGAATAAATATAAATTTTAACTTATTTTGATTATTTTACCTTCTCAAAGTTAAGAAGGGGCTTTGAAATTTTAACTAGCTTAAATTATTATTTTTAGCTATAATTCACTTAATACACAATGGCTGCGTCGAATACGCTACAGTATTACACGTTCTCGTGCGTGAAGTGAGTAATTTCTTATCAATTTAAAAATGCGGTAACAATGTTAGATCATCTATTTATGACAATTATGCTGTCCAACGTCAAATAACAGTAACCAATATACTTATTAAAATTAAATTTTTACATAGTCCCAAGAATTACAACCTGCCGAATTTTTTGTAATTATTCTATAATATTAATACAATTTTTATAATTAGAATATTAATAATTATTGTGTATACCAAGGGCGTATTTAAAGGGAATATGGGTGACTGTCCTCCTTAAGCCTGCGCTATCAATATATTTTTAGACGACTTCTAATAAATATGGACCTAATGACCTTTTTTTTAATCATCATCTTGATTTTTAGCAAAACATTCTGTGGCATGTTTACCAAAGAAAAAAAATGAAAAACTCTCCTAAAATAATTTCTAAATACGTTCCAATTGAATACCTCAGTAACAAACGTTTACCTTATATGTAATACATTTTACTATTTTTCTTTTTGAATTTTCCTGATATTAATAATTAAATTGTCAATATATTTTTGTTGCACTGCTTCTGATGTTATATTTTTTCCTATAAAATACTTATCGTGACAGGCATAACCGAGTAATCCTACTAGAATTAGTGGCCTACTTACGAGGATGTCCCAAAGAGGCTTACGTGTCGAAGGCGCGTGAGGCTTGTAGAGCCCTAGGTTTAGGGTGAAGACCAAGCTAGGCAAAGCCTAGTAGTATAATAATACTATAATAGCTGATTGACGAAAATAATAAAAATTTCAAATTAAAAAAATTATAATTAAAAGAATGTTAACTGCCTTTTAACGTTTAGGTTACTCATACCTGTATAGGCTCTCAATATTCATGGGCCTGGACATCATCTCTCAATACCCCCATTTAATCCGGGTATGGTGTATCTAAGTCAATATTTCTATTTAAATCCATATTTTGTTTGAGAATATATGTCTAAAAAGTTATTTAAATTAAATACGTACACAGGATTTTAGTTCACGTAGAGTTATTACTATAGGNATTACAAATAAAAAAAAATCTAAATATTGAGTACTGGGTACTGGGCCCATAACCTGTTGAATGGAATAGGTTATGTAATTAAAAGATTTAGAAATTATTCGTAATATAATAGTATTTAATATAAAATGTCAAAACATATAATATAAGAGATGTACAACGGCAACGGGTCACTTTACTCGATAGACTGGATCAAGTTCATCCATATTTTGTTTTCTTTCAACATTATTCTCATCATTAATGTTATTTTCTTCACTTTCAACCACCATTTCTGAATTTATTTCTTCATCTTTTTTTCTAATTTTGATTTCTATTTCTATAGATTCTTTGAATATAACATCTCTGCTTAATGAAACTTCTTTTCCATCAAAGCATATGCGGTATCCTTTAGTTTCTTCTGAATACCCAACAAATATTCCTTTTCTCCCTTTTTGATCCCATTTTCTACATTTTTCTTTTGGTATATGAACATAAACTTCACTACCAAATACTTTAAAATTGCTTATATTGGGACTTTTATTATACCATAATTCATAGGGCGTTTTTTCTTTGTTACCTGAATTTAACGTACGATTCAATACATATACAGCTGTATTTACCGCTTCAGCCCAAAGATTTTTTGACAAATTTTTACTGTATAACATAGTTCTAGCTGCTTCTACTATTGTACGCATTGTTCGTTCTGCTTTACCATTTTGCTGTGGTGTATATGGTACACTGGTTTCATGTTTTATACCAAATTTATTCAAAATAGCTTTGACTTCATCATTCTTATATTCCAAGCCACAATCACTTCGTAAAGTAAGAACTGATATATTTAACTGATTTTTCACTGTATTTAAGAATAATTCAAACTTCTCTTTTACTTCTGATTTTTGTTTCATAAAATATATATATGTATACTTAGAGTAATCATCTTTGAATATAACAAAGTATCTTTTACCACCAAGAGAATTTTCTTCCATGGGTCCACAAACATCACTGTGAATTATCTGACCTGGTTTTGTTGTTTTGGTACTGCTCAGTGTAAATGGTTCTCTGTGTTGTTTACCATAAATGCAAGCTTCACAGAAAAATTTGTTTTCCATATCTGTGAATTGAATACCCATATGC